TGAATATTTTCATCTATTTGTTTTTTGTTTTACTTTTATTTGGCCTAATCACAATGGCCCGTAGTCATAGTCAAAATAAAGTCGACTTTAAAGTTAGTTGCAGCTTTTTTGACAGATATCCCATTGAAAATTATGTCAAAAAGCTGCAACTAACTTTAAAGTCGACTTTATTTTGACTATGACTACGGGCCAATATGTATATATTTATATATTTTTTATTAATAGTTTATGTCCAAAAGTAGTTAGCTACAACTAAATAAGTTGACATCTAATGCAAAGGAAACCATTTCTCACTATTTTGCGGCTATCGGCCTTCAAAAGTAGCTAGCTACGACTAAAAGAAATAGTTAATAAGTAGTCACCACTAGTCGACATCTAGTTAACAGTTAGCTTCAAACTAGTGTGGCAGGGTGGTGAGTGGTGATTGGTGTATAAATTGGGTCCAAGTAGTTTGCTAACACCCTGTACTGATGGTTTGTGACTAATCGCAAACATCTCGTAAAGCGCCATCTAGTGCAAAATAAATCAAATTACTTATGTAGATATAGCAACTTTACATCGATTTAAACTGGTCAGATGTGGCCGAGGTTGTTAGCACGCCCGTTCCGTTGTCGAGAAGGTCGAACCTGCTAATCGCAAACACCTCGTAAAGCGCCATCTAGTGCAAAATAAATCAAATTCCTTATGTAGATATAGCAACTTTACATCGATTTCAATTGGTCAGATGTGGCCGAGGTTGTTAGCACGCCCGTTCCATTGTCGAGAAGGTCGAACGTCACCGCAGTTGTCCGAGTGTGGTAGTGATTTCACTTTTTTTTTATTTTATTATTAATTTTTTTTGTTTTATTTTTTTTTAAGTGGTGTTATATTTTTTAGGAAATGAGTTCGTGCTATCCCGCGGGATATTTTAGTTTAAAAATCGTTACCTCCCGCTAAAATCGAGACAATTTGGAAAAAAAATAATTGTTTTCACCAAAATTCATTGACGCATGAAAAAAACCAATTTTTATATGGAAGAAAAGGCGCAAAAACTTCGACAAAAAAGAGCCGTCACATAGTGGTCGGAGAAGCCATGTTTTACGCGAAAAGCGCATATTTTAAAACTGTGATAAATTAACGGGAATAAAACTATTCTTATTCCGAAATGTCCAACGAACTCAAAACTGTTCAGTATTTTTAATAGTATCTGCTGAGCAAACCGCGGAATCCGTTTAATTCAATGAATTCGATCGTGGCACATTCGAACAGTTATGAAATGACAGATGCGTCAGCAAAAAAAATTGTTAAAAATCAACTCGATTTCTAAGCCACTTTAAATTTGTACATTGTTGTGCTAAAATTGAATAGGCTATAAAAAGTTTAAAATTTTGATGAGAACCCGTTAAATTTTCATTAAATTTCTATTTAGTTTAAAACAAAAAATCCTTCATTTGATATTTAGGACTACCCTAATGTGCATAAGTGCCTAGCTACTAGAGCTCTCGATTTTGTTCGCACATTTTCAAACAGCCCGGGTATATGAGCAGCGAGTACTCGCACACTTGTTCAATGCTCATTACTCGAAAATTTTCGAGCATGAGCTCGAGCAATTCGAGTTTTTTCCAGTAATTTGAGCAATGTTTTTTTTTATTATATTGACATTTTTGGTAGCCACTTTTTAAATTTTTCAAATTATTGATATATAATGCAAAGATTGTTACATTGGTATTTAATAATATAATTTATTTAACATGAATTAGAAAGCAGCTGCTGACAAATACAATTTACAAATTTTCTTTTGTTTATGAAATTGTTCAAAAACTCGAAAATTTTGAACAAACATTTGAGCAGTTGAGCAATGAACGAGTTTCGAGCGAGTATCGAGCTACTCGCATTGCTCGATACCCGGGTATCTAGAGCTCTACTAGCTACCGATTTGTTCTCCTCAAAAGTGATAATAGCATTTCAAAAGCCGTCGAAGTAATCAACCCCAGAATTCAGTTGAGCATTAGATAAAATATAATTTTTTACATAAAAGCAATTTCAAATTTATTTTAATTAATGATTTGTAGTCGTGAGTAAATATTAGGCTAATTCTAGTGCTTTGGTATATGATGTATGTATGTACAATAGGGTGGTCCTAAAAAGTAAAGTGAGAATATTAACGCTCTCACCCCTACGCTTGTTCTATACCAAAAAAGACACCACCATTGTGTTATTTTTTAGAAATCAAAAAATATTTAGAGGACGCTCAAAGTCTTCCATGTATTTTATATGGGGACAAAATAATTTTCTTAGATATGGTTTACAATTCTTGAAAATTCATTTTTCTCGAAGTCTTCAGGAGACTTCCAATAATAATAGTTAATTATTTATTTAACAATTTTTTAATATTAATTCACTTTTCACAGGTGTCCCAAAAAATGCAATGAGAGGACCTGGGGTCTATTTCATTAAAGTGACTGGTGCGGAAATTGTCGTTGTATCTATAAAATTTCACTGCCAGAATTGTAGGCGACATTTTTTCTGTTTCATATACGCTTGTAAGCAACTGTGAAAATTTTTGGAAAACGACGGTGATATTATGGAATATTGTCGACAATTGTCACTCTGACAAAATTGTCGTGACAATAGCGACAAAACCAAATAGCTCCGTCGGAAAGCTTTCACAGGAGAGTTTTGTAAATGTATTTATATGGTGATTGCGCGCATTTCATTACTTTTCAATAATTTAAATATTTCTTAAAACTAAAATAATGCAAATGCAATTACTACATATGATTTACATATAAATTTCATATGACTGGCGACAATTTTGTCAACGGCAATTTTAAACCCCGACAATGACAATTTGTCACTTTTTCAATGGAATTTCTCATGGAATTTATGAGGTGGTGACAATTATTTTTATGAAACAAAACATCCACCAAACTACCGAATTGTCACTAACAACATGGAAAATGCCTGTCATTACAAAATTATCACTGTCGCTTTATGAAATAGGCCCCTGAGGACCTGAAGAAAAAAAGAGTTTTCCGATCGAAAAATATAGATTTTCATGAATTCTATACCAATTCTACTAAAAATTGTTTTTTTCGAACGATTCTACGAAAGATTGTTTGAGCGACCCCTAACTATTTTTTTTTCAAAATGAAAAACCGGAGTATATTTTTTCGGTATAGAACAATCCTAGGCGGTGAGAGCATTAAAATTCTGACTTTACTCTTTTTTTTTGTACCATCCTAATGTTCAAACAGGGTATATCACGCATTTGCTGCAAAAGGCTAAAAAAAATGTTTTCAGTTAAGTAATGTAAATTTAACGGGTGCAACAGAAACAAAGGACACTGTGACCAAGCATATTTTATATATCCTCAGATAGTTCTTCACGCTCACGGCCTAACATATTAACAGCATCCCTACTAAAAGCTAACAGTTTCTTTGTAGATGAATTCCTGCCATTAAGGGTATCAACCGAAGTAATGAGCCGTAGTCTGGCCAATGCTGGACAATCACACATTATGTGCTTCGACGTCTTCTCCTCTTCAAGACAAAGACGGCAATCCGTATCTGTGGTCAGGCCAGTCCGGTGCATGTGAGTACAAAGGTGATTATGACCGGTTAAGTAACCAATAAGCGACTTGATGTTGGCTCTGTTCAAAAGACTTCCTAGCGAAAAGATGACCAAGCAGTTTAGCCTGTGTAATGCCCCCCATCTCTCCCCAGTACTTACTGCGTTCTAAGCTTACGCACGCTTCCATTGTAAGTTTGAAGGAGGTCCCAGTAAGTGCTCAAAACCGTACCGCTCCCACAAGTACATACTATAAGCCTGCTCTAGCCAGTTCATCGGCGACCTCGTTAACTGCGATCCCGCACTGTCCTGATACCCAAAATAGTTACATCGTGTTCCTTGCTGCCAAGAGTTCCAGAGCATCACTGCACTCCTTGATGAACCTAGGGGTAATCATCCTATTGGATAGAGCGCTAATGGCCGCCTGGTTGTCTTAAAATTACTATAAAAGCGTCTTTCAAATCCTTTTAAAGGTTCAGTCCGTCACAAATTGAGATTTCTAGTACTTCGTCCAGAAAGACCGTGAATCTAATACCCATTCTGATAGATAGATTTGTGGCAGGTCCATAGAAAAACGCCCCTGATCTTCGATCCGATTCAGGTAAACCATTTGGCCAGACCTCTCGGCCTAGAGCAGATTTGCTTTAGCTTAGATTAGAAAAACTCGTAAATTCCTTTGACCTGGTATTTTGTTCAAAATAAGTACCTTTGTGTTGTGGCTTCTTATGAATAATTCTATCAGGGATTTGCGTTTGCAAATTCCTCGAAAAACATGTATTAGCTCCTCTATAATGTGTCAAAATCGCATGGCTGCAAGTCATGCAAGTCTCAGGTAGCTAGGACTTACCAATGATTTTTGGCAATTTTTTTTTGTTTAAGGTGTCGTTCATTTTTTCCATATAAAAAAATCAAACTTTTTAATAGCAACATGATTTGTTGATACCTGGGCAAGTTCATGAATGATTTTAAATCGTTTTGGAATTCGACAAGTAAACCGGATGTATGCATGTATGTATGTGTTGAAAGGTTCCAAAAAATTATGAGTATTTTGTTTATTAAATTTAATTTTATTTGCTGGCAAGAATGAAACAACATTTTCCTTATCAAGCCATAAGGAAGTGAAATAATTGATATTTTACGCCTTTATAATTTCACTGCTTGAAACTCTGAGTCATTTGCAATATCTTGTCAAAGCAACATATAAGACGTTTACCTAAACTGACCACTTCAAACAAAGTAAACATAAAACCGGTACATTTTCGAGAGTCCATTGGCTCTTAGGTTATAGATTAATTCTTGACTGTGTGAAAAAACAACTCAACAACTTTTATTCCCCGCTATTCGGTTACATCACAGATACTCGACTTTTAATTACATAGTTCAGCACTGCCAAGTGCGTCTACTTATTTGATAAAAACCACTAAAAACTGGGTATAAATACCGGCTGCCATTAAACAGTCAAGCAGTCAAACGAATTTCGAGCAAGTTAAACGTTCTTTTGCAATTAAACAACTATCAAAATGAAGGCCTCTTTCACCATTGCCGCTGTGCTTTGCGCCTACTTGCTTGTCCAATCGGCCGTAGCATTGCCTTTGTCTGCTGAATCCATTGAGAGCTCAGAGGTTGTGCAACAACAACAGCCAGAAGAGCAGAAACAGCCACAAGGACAAGGACAAGGACATGGACAAGGACATGGAAATGGACACAAGAAGCAATTGCCACCAATTACCATCGATGCAGCAATGCAAGCTTCGGCTCACATCACCGTGCCAGAGGAAGTTGCCGAAGCTATCGCCAAGCTGATGTCCCAATTGGCACAAGAGCAAGAGCACAAGCATCAAATGAACGAACCGCCACAGGAGGAACAACCACAGGCTGATGAACCCCAAAAGGATGAGCAACCAGAACAGGGTGAGGAACCCGAGAAGGTTGAACAACCAGAACAAGGTGAGGAACCAGAAAAGGTTGAGCAGCCTGAACAAGGTGAGGAGCCGTCAAAGGATGAGCAGCCAGAACAAGGCGAGGAACCCGCAAAGGTTGAACAACCAGAACAGGGCGAGGAACCCGCAAAGGATGAGCAGCCAGAACAAGGCGAGGAACCCGCAAAGGTTGAGCAGCCAGAACAAGGCGAGGAGCCCGCAAAGGTTGAACAACCAGAAGAACCTGTTGAAGCTTAAAGGTGCTCAGTGCAAACTGTATAACTGAGAAATCTTTACTACGTTTTGAATGTATTCTGGAATTTAGCTCATTCACTCGAAAAAATCGAGAACTAAACGAAATTATACAGTAATTTTGAAATAAAATAATTTTAATATTGCAAAATGTCTGAACTTTTAATTTTTTTTTTAAACGAACCCTTGACTTGCGTTCTTAAAGTATCAAATTCATAGCGTTTAGTTAAGCTACTAATAAAAGTTTAATTAAGAATTCATACTCACAGTCTCTTTGCGGTAGGCTTTCTCCCAAATTTGGTGGCAGCTGCCAAAAGGTGCAACAAAGTGTTCCGATTTGTTAAGAAAACTTCTCTGACGTTCAACATTGCTCTTGGTTTAGATAAACTGTGAAATTTGGCTGATCCCTACGGATATATACAAATTGCCATGCCTTGAAACTATACAGCTTCGAAAGCTCAAGCTATACAAATTTTACAGTAAATAGGTAAATACTCTGACGGGGCTAAATGTCTTGGTATAATCCCTTATAAAGAAGCCGAGTTGAACCTTCCACTGGGATAACACTCTTAGTAAAGGTTTTTGTCAACGATGAGAATAATTCTCATGAGGACGGAAATTCACTATCATCCTCGCCGTCTAATTAGTAAAGGGAATGAGTATCGTATCTACACTAAGAGTGAAAATGTGAGTGAATTCCTATTATTAATAACTACATAGGTGAGTTTGACCGTCGAAAATATTACAAAAAGCTGTCGTTCAACGTTTAAATAAGCTCCAAAATTTGGCTTTTCTCTCAGTAAGAGACTTGTATTGAGAGCTGCAACAATCGTGGCTCTGTAGTGACTTCTACAATGGGTTTCGCTCCATGACGATATTCTTCATAAGAACAACAATCAAACAGGTATTTAGTAAAATAAGAGAGTTGGAAAGCAGTGGGTTTTTCGACTCTATGCCAACACGGGTACTTATGAACCTGGCCCTAAACGTTCTATTTGAATAGACAGAGGTCCACTATTTTTCAGGCAAAGATACTGGCATTCCCAACATAAGCCAGAATAAAACTGTACAACGATTTAGTATGTGACCCAATGGTGATCTTTCCATATAGCCGAACGGACGTTAGGGCCCTTTATACACGGCTTGATGCTCTTCACTTTTAAAATGATGGCCTGTTTGCGGAGAGGTTTTTGCTTCGTAATCATCCCCGAATAGCGGTAAATAAGTTCGTCAGCCCGGACAGGGAACCGCCGTAACTGGGGGAGGCCGAATAGCTTCGGTAATCGGCCATTCTTTGAAGCTTTACGTTCTAGACTGGGCTCCAGACAGGATGAACCTCAAGATTGCTCATATGACATCTTGATCTGCCCTTGAATATAGAAAGGAGAGGTTGTTGTGCAGGTATTCTTTTGTAGAATTTTCAATGTAAGAGAACTTCGGTAGCCTACGGTCTACAAGTTCTTAGCAAAAAGTTCAACATCAAGTCGGTATGGTTAATCACATAGGACGTCTATCCTTTGAAAGAAAAAACTTACTGACTAGGTCTTTTCTACTTACAATAGCAGTAATTGGTATAAATTCGTACTATAAAAAAGAAAAAAACTACATGCACAGTTTAGTCCAAATGGCTGAAATTGCCCCAAATGTTAAGAAAATGTATATATACTTTTTCATAGTATATAAATTCAGGCGGTGTCTTACGATGTATAATACTTCAAAAATGGCCGTCTTTCAAGTTTCCTAAAATCAAATCGAAATCATAAAAAGATAGAAAGATTGTGCTCACCTTGATCTTCCATGCTTTATCCAAATGCCCTAAATTTCCAAGAAATTTTAAAAAAAGAAAACTCCTTTAGTACCATAACTTACCTCACTTCCAAAATTCAAACCAACCAGTTTTCTTTATAAAAGCAATTTTTATTACATTTTCGCTATTGTTTTTTTTTTCTTGTATATTCGTGTATGTTTGTATATGATGTACGTATGCAAGTGTATAAATGTATGTATGTACGTATGTATGTGTGTTCATAAGTTAATGCTCTTGGTGCAGCTAGTTCTATTTTTTTTTGCTGCACTAATGTATTTTGCAAATGCACAATTTGTTGTAATTTTATTTTATTTTTTTATTTTATCTGCTTTATCTCTTTCTTTGAATACTTTGAGGTTTTTTTTCTTTAATTTGCAGGCAAGCTTTGTTTTTTACTTTGTATGTATGTAAGTATGTGTGTAGGTAAGTATATTTGTATTTTCTCTTCACTTTTATTTGCATTTAGATAAATTTAATCACTCAATATTTATTTATTTTAAATTTATTTATGCGGGTTTTTTCTCTCGTACGTACGTATTTATATGTATATGCTCATAATGATATCAACAATAAGCATGTGCCTTGTCATATGATTGCTTTGCTAATAAAGTCCTTCAGCCGTAATTATTTTTTTAATTTTAATTGCAGTTCACTTTTCTGGTTTTTGTTTTCTTATTACTTTTTATCATTTTGTTTTCAGTTAGTTTATTGTAATACATATATTTTTTTTTTATATTTTTTCATACGTTTTTTTATGTTAGATAAAATAGTTCCAACATTCAAGGGATAACAACATTTTTATTTATTTTCATCTTGTGTTTTAATAAATTTTAAGTTTTATTTTCACATTTATCATATTTATTTTTGCCACTTAGGTAAGTTAGGTAATATAACTGTGCAGCCATTAAGAGTGAACAGAAGGAGTCAAGAGAATAGATACTTCAATGACGATCTCATAAAATGGGATTCAAGAACAGGGATTGTAACCGAGAACGCTGCTGAAAAGAAGAGCAAAGCCCAACCTTTTCTAAATAGTACATATGTAGTCTACTTTTAGGATATATGCCACATTTCGTAAGCGCAGGCAGATACGTACGTTTAATCTCTGGAAACTTTCTGGAAGTCCTCTGCAGGTATGTACAGATTGCCAATAATCCAAGTTACCTGGAAGCGAGTATAATTTTGAAAGGTTAACCTCCACTTTTTTTGAGATAGGTCACTAGTGGTGTTAGAAGATGTGTTTTCAAGATCCGATAACTTATTTTAAACCAAAATACGCTTAAATATTGTACAAAGCTCCAGGCCAGGCCAGGAAAAACGGCGGACTCAGAAAGTCCGAATTTAGAAAACACTGAAATAGCGCCCTTGGGGCCATTTTCCAGTAGAGAGTTAACTCACAACTTTCATAGTGAAATCTATACATATGTATGTATATAGTTAGCTGATGAATCCCAACAAACATTTGGAGTCTTTAAAGAGTCCCATTTCGGAGTCCGATATGAGGTAAGCAACCCTTCCTCCGAAAGTCGACTTATATAAGCTTAAATTCATACATCAAATGAGCCTTAATATGAGTCATATTTCACTCTTATTGACCTCATATACGGCTCATTTTGGACTCATTTTTGGGGGTTTCGGTCTTTTGCAGAGCGCTCTCTAACAACTATAATGCCTGCCCCACACTTTCGGTTGTGCCTGAATATTTTCTAGTCAGACTTACATACATATATGGCTGGTAGGCCATAATGATATTCGAGCCAGTCTCATCGAAAAGTGGCAAAAGGATCTCATGTTGAGTGCAAGGAAAGGGCACAACTGGCTAGACCAAATATCACACCAGAACCTCACTTTCCCGGCTACTCACAGGACGATGATTTACAGTCATACCCATAAATTCTCCAAAGCTAAACACCTTGGAGCGTAGTTTTTAGCTATGAAGTTCTGGGGAGCTTTCCGGGGCTCACATATAACGCTTGCTAAATGTTGCTCTTGGTGCCCAGCTTTACTAGCTTAGCATTTGCAGATCCAAATGTGCCCCTGCTATGGCAACTACTTCGACCGATCCTAACCTCAAGCTCATGAAAAATTTGGATTCCTAAAAATAAATATGTACATATGTACAAATATATATATTATAATTTTTATGAAGGAGTCCCCTAGTCCTTATCGAACTACTTTAACTTTTTTTTCATAAATGATGTATGTACCCGCTTCCTGATCACTCTTACATCACTTTCAGTAAGTCGCACAGCGTACTACTTTTCTTACCTTCATTGTTTTTAAATTTAGTTTCTCAGTTTTATTTTTTTCTTCGCTTTTTTGATATGCAAGGATGACCTCCTTCCTATTTCTAACTAATATAATGTATTATGTAAACATTAAGGATGTTCACAAATAACCTGCATTCCTGTTTTAGTAGCTCAAAGAAATTTCAATTGTAAGTCGATATTTTACGTTTTTTTTTTTTTTTAATTTTAATTTCGAACAATTTGTTCTTCAACTGCTTTCTCGAAAACTTAGTAGTGTTCTAGGTATTTTTCAAAAAATTTATTAAATCTAGTAACTTTAGTCGTCTACAGCTTTATTTTGATTTTGAAGCTTTAATTTCACAGGCTTTTACTAAAGGGTTGTTTTACTCTCAAAATTAAAAGTTATCATTATATTTTGAAATTTATTCCTTTTTTTTACTTTCCTTTCGTTTACTTTTTAATATACATACATACATAGTAGTGTTTATGTAGTTCATAACTATTTCGAGCCCTAACCTCCAAAAACACGTAAGCGACATTTTTTCAAAATTTTAGTTTTGATGCAGAAATGTAAATACATAGATGCTCTAGGAACAATTCTGCATTAAAAAGAAAATTTGAAAAAATTTAGCTTCCATCTTTCTAGCGGTTGCGACTCGATGTAATTTCTTAAATTATTTGAAATTGCAAATTTGCAGAGTGGCTTATCTTTCGCTTAGCTAAATTCAACAATAAGCAAAAATCGCTTGCAACAAGAAAGCTCGTTAAATTTTTATTTCATTTGATATTTTTTATTTCAAATTGTTTTTATTTTATGTCTTATTCTCCTTCAGATCTAACCATTCTTGAGTACGCTATCTAATTAAACGCACAACTTTAATAGTTTATTATTCATTTTAATCAATCCCTGCAATTCGTTCGGCTTTCCTGGTTGAAGTATTTTCTTATTTTACATATGTATTTGGATTTATTTATTTTCAACTTATTTATGTAATTTCATTCTTTATTACAGTACAATTAATAATCATCAAAATATTTCAGGCACAAAGTGAAACTCTAAATAAAAAAAAGCAAAACAAATAGTGGGTTAATTATTTGATTTTCAATATTTCCTTTTTTATTATGCCAGGTGCACAATAAGGCAGTTGCAGAATGTTTAAGAATACAGAAAAAAAATTATGAATGCTACGGCGAGATAGTTTTAGACGTTTATCTATTTCTATACATCCAACTACAACCGAATTTAACGCAATTGAATTCGATATGCTGTGATTCTTGGTAAGCTTTTCTGAACGGTTTTGTATCATTGAAACAATAAACGCAGCTTTGGATGAACGCGCACAAAAATCTATTTAGATGACTTCGAGAAGAATATGTACATTTCCTAAACTGAAGACAATTATAGGGATGTAGATGAAAAAGGTGTCAGCGTGTTGAGTGCTTAAATGAGTAAGCTCTTGAAACCTGTATGCAGTATTCTTGGAGGTTTCGACTTTATACCTTATAACACGAACTACTGCATGCCCAGACTGGCGTAAACGGGTCCTTCCTGAATTCATACCGTCTAGGGATGAGTGGACGTGAAATAGTAGTCGAAGCTTGACGGAGCGGTTGGTGCAAGGATCATTGGTAAGGAGCTTTCCGTCAACCTCAAATTTAAGCTCCAAATCACTCTAGTGCTTTGCAGGCAAACCTAGCTGTCAATTGGTTTTCAAGTGCGTAATGTCGGCAAGTTAGAAAGACATCAACTCTGATGACCAAGTGGCTTTCGGGGTGCTGGATTCGCTAACGGTGCTCTTCAAGCCTACATCTCTTTCAGTTGCATTTGATTATTTTGGTGTTCCAGAAATTGCGGTTGAGTTGGCCAAGAGAGACACCCTCGAGTCGTTCTCACCAAGGAAAGGGAGAGTAGGAATTGTTCTTTGTACATGCAGGCGACTATTGGGACAGATAGGCCTCGTGTCAGCTCTGTGAGTGCCAAGAAAAAAATTTGACATGTGCCCCATTGGTAGTCACGTGGTGAGACACCAGCTTTTCAGCTTTTCACTCCCGCAGCTGTTTAGATGACGATGAGGTAAAATCTACTATCTACTATAAGGGGTCAATTGAAGACTCTGTGATGTTGTCAGATCGGCCTATTGGCGGCATACGTCCGCATACATTCTAGAACAGTTGACAAGGTTGTTTTGAAACGTCAACATTTTAAGAAATAACGAAAATAAGTGGAGACTTACGGGTATACTAAAATAAGAGGAGACTTTCGACAACCCCCAACCTACATGAATTTCATCTTGATATGTCCAAGGTCAATACAGGATGGGTGGCGTGAATGCACACAGAACAGCCTTAGAAACTGAGCGGTACATATTTAATTGTATTCAAAACTCATTCTGCAACTGCTACTGTTTCTGTGCTAAATGCTTGCGTTGCGTATACGCCGTGTATGTAATGTACTAATAAATAGATAGTAAGTATTTAATGTACCATAGACATTTTTTTTTATTATTTAGAATAAGAAAAAAAACTTAAAACTTAATTTTAAATTTTTTGCAAATTTAGTTCGTAACTCATATTTAATTTTATTGAATTCTCGTGAGTAAATTCACCTTTTAAGTTAATTACATTTGCTCAGATGGTGCTATAACTTTTTCAGTGTACATTTGCTAGCTATTTTTGTTAACTTCGCGAATTTTCGAATATTTTATAAATTATGGGAAATATACATAATTATAACTACGAACTCGCACAATAAGAAAACAATTTTTAAACGACCAAAAACCCATGTCCAGTTCATTCACCAAGATTAATAACTTGTGTCTGGTTCTTAAATTGCTCAGCAATGATGCCCCGTTTTAATATGGCCAAAAATGTATGTTCACTTACAATTTAGTTAAATTTTCTGTTAATTTTTTAAATTCAAAATGGCCAACAATTAAGTGAACACAAATTTAGTTACAAACTGTTTAAATTACCCAAATAAAATTTCTGGGTTTTTAATAGCCACAGATTTATGTCCTGTTTTCAATTACTAAAAATGTATGTACATCCATTTAATTATCATTTTATGTTTATTTTGAAAACCTCTTAAATTCCCGCAATTTTATTTATAATTTTTAATTTGAAATGTCTAAAAATGTATGCCCAGTTCTTGAATATGTCCAGTTTTTAAATGACTAAAAGTTTATGTATACCACATAGTTCTTAAATTCATATGAAATTTGTGCTTCTTTTACAATGGCCAAAAATTTACGTTCACTTCCAAATTAGTTAAATATTATGTTAACTTTTTAAATTTCTCAAATAAAATGTCTAGTTTTTTAATGGCCACGGATTTATTATTAAAAATGTATGTCCATCTCATGAAAATCGGTCAAATAAAGTTCGGTTTTTAAATTTAAAAAAATATGTCCACTCCATGTGTCCAAGCTGGACACAAAAAATATAATATCCGGTTTATAGTCAATAAAAAATTACTGTTCATAAAATTAGCCAAAAAATATTTCTAGTGTTTAAATGTCAAAAAATGTACATATGTCCATTTAACCAAAAAAGTTGCATATGTCCTGTTCTTATATAGCCAGACATTTTTTTCCAACTTTTAAACTGTCAAAAAATTATATGCAGTTTTAAATGGCCAAAATTATTTTCCAACTAAAAATTTTTCCCACATTTTAATACTCACTATGCACTTTCTGATCTTCCAAAAAAGTATGTCCAGTTTTAAATTAACCAAAAAATCATGTCCACTTCCTAAATTACTACAAAAATGATGTTCATTTATAAAAATGTCTCCTCATTTATGTCCAGCTCCTGAATTACCAAAAATTATGCAGACATTTATTTCGAACTTTTATATTACCAGCTTTAAATGACCAAAAATGTATTGCCAAAAAAATATTATGTCCAGTTTTTACATTAAAACACACTTTGGACAAATTTTTAAATAACCAAAAAGTTATGTCCAGGTTTTAGATTGCCAAAATTTAACGTCCAGCTCACAAATTACCAAACAAATTTTGTTATTTTCTTAAATATCCAAAAGATTTATGTGCAGTTCATAATTTGACTAAAAAATTTGCACAAGTTTACCAAAATATTTTTAAGCTAACAAAAAATTATGTCTAGCTTTTTTACAAATCATATGTTCTTACGTATATATGCATTAAGCACCACCCTAGTACGCATTTTCCCTTTTCAACCGCATCGTGTTTTGTCTTTTCAGTACTACAAAAATATACACACACATACTTATATATAAACTAAAAAACATAACGGTGTTTTTAAATAATTTTTTTTATTATTCTAATTAGCATTTTTTGGGCGGTTTTTCGCTGCAGCTTTTGCATTTGCTTTTATTGACAACTAGCAATTAATTTATTTTTCAGCTCAAGCAATTGCTGGTGGCATATGCGCGCGCGTGATGTTTTGTTTTATGTCAAACAAGTTTTTTTTGTTTCTATTACTTCTATTCAAATTGGTATTACATGGCGTCGATTTCTGATAGCAGTGACAAACATTTTTCAAAGTTGACTGATAGCAGGTCCTTTGACTCTGTTCGACCACTTCTCTAAACTCCACGATAACTTAGTTCACTACTTTCGCACCCTATATTCCTTCCTCTCTCGATTTTCTTTCACATCTTATTCTAATTTGACGCCCAGCGTTGCTGTTTAACAGCTCACAGTTTCCGGCAGTGGATTTTCTGTGATGCGCATCTTTTGCGCAGTCGTATACGATGTACCATTTACGCTCACTTCCGGCTCCGGCTCCGCTTCCAAGTCCAAATCATCCAAGTCATGCTCCACATCGAAAGCGGGCAAGTGACGTTCGCGTTCAATCGATTGGTTGCCATTGCCATCAGAGTCGCCACCCGAGGCATCACCGCTGCTAGAGGCATAGCCGGTGCTTGTGTTATTGTTGTTATTGATGGCAGTCTCGCGGCAGAGGCGCACATTGCTCCGCAACTTTTTTTGTTGTTTTCGCTGACGTTGCAACTGTTGTTGTTGTTGTTGTTGTTGTTGCTCCGCAGCTTCCTGTTCGCGCCGCTGTTTCTCCAATTGTTCCTTGAAGTTGGCAAAAAATATGGACGAGTAGGTTTGATATTTGGTGCCACATGGTGAAGTGGCTGGCGTGGAGAGGGGCGTGGCTGCATTGTAGAGTGTTGTTGAATGTTGGTGGTACGGTGGGCAGCGGAGTTGATGGCATAGTTGTACCGTTGATGTAATCCATGTACCAGTACATATGTGACAATAGCGGTGGTAGAGCACATTAAAGAAGGGGGGACACAGAGGTAGTGGGAATTTTGCTTATGTTATTGAGCGAATTAATTTATTTTTGTTTTTTGTTGCTGTTGTTGTGTGTGTTTTTTTTTCATTCGGTAATTCAGCGAAATGATAGTTTCGATAGTTTGAAAGAGGAGTGAAAATTTGTTCTTTTGGTTTAAGAATAAATTCCTAGCGCTATGTAGGTAGGTATGTACAATGTGTGTGCGTGTATGTGTTTTGAAGCAAAAAAAGTTGTGTTTATGTATATAGGAATGTACATACATATGTAAGTATATACTTGAGTCATATGTACATATGTATGTATGTATGCATGTTTGTCCAAAGAAAGGATCTTAGGCTTTCGATTGTGCATTGTTTTCGTAAATGACAATGTTGTTGGTGTTGGTAATTGATTTGAAATGCGCTTGGCAACCATGAGCATGAGCGAATGATTGATGATCGACATGCTCATCTCAAAGTCTAGCAGCAGACTTGAGTCACACACACACGCACACACACATGCGCAGAAGCACACACCCAAACACATACGCTTTTGTGCATCTCATTTACTAAAATCAGAACATTGAGAAAATTTTGAATTTTTTTGTTTACCGTCTTAGGCCCTTTTTAACTCTGCAAAAATTTTGACCTCATTTATAAAGCAATTTTTGATACAATCAGTGTTGCCAGGTCATTGAAGTGAGAAATCGTCAGTTTGCATGTAAAAATCCTCGACGTATAAAAAATTTTAATAAACAGAACCAGGAAGCTCTTTAGGTTTTTTTTAAGTTTAAAAAGTTTGAAATTTTTAAGAATTTTTTAAATTCGCATTACTTTTAGCAAAAATATTTTTCATTACAATAAAATCACATTTTCATCTTAATTTTTTTCCAACTGCAACTTAGCGATGTGCATTCAAAACTGTTCATACTTACATGTTTTGCTAACGAACTTATTCAAAATTCCCTTCGATCAATAAAATATGTACATACCAATACACAATGTCACAATGCCAAAATTACGAATTTGACCGCCAAAAACTACACAAATAGTGATGGAACAAAGAATAAAACTACTTATCGATAACTACTATTAGTGCTGCCACATGATATAATTTCGATACGATAATTTTGTATTAGCAAAAATTGTAAACTCTCAATAGGTGTTGACACTGCAATTTTTAGTTGTCTGTGTAACTATCTTCAAAGTTGAGAACCAGCCAAATCGTCATAGCAGTAAGAAAAATTCAAAATAACGACCAAATCGTCAACCTGGCAACACTGGATACAATATAAAGCTCCGGAATTTTTTCTTTTTTTTGTATATAGAACTTAGTATTTTTTCAATAACTTTTGATACAATTAACTAAAAAAATTTTGTCGATTGAATAGAGAAAATTTTGAATTTTTTAGGTTCCTTCGCATTTACCGGCTTTCACATTTTTGTAAGCTCTGCAAGAATATTTATCACATTTTTATATTATATTGTGATTTTTTAGTTCAATATATATTGAACATACTATTTTTTCAATATTGATATAATTCACTAAAATTAATAAAAAAAAATAAATTATAAAAAAAAATTTTGTCGGGGGCTTTAAATTTGTTCTGTGCGTCCTGATCGCTGCCTCCGAACGGCAAATGGGTTTATGCGAAGCATATTTTTAAAGTACATACATACATATGTGCATACTTGTCCTAGTTATTACTTAAAATATTATTAATAAATTATTTTCACCAATTCAAAATTTTCAAATCCACATTTCTTAATTGTAAATACATATCAAGGTTATAAAGAATAATTTTCGATTTCCTTCATATATTTTCAGATAATATTTACCCATTTACTAAACCAGGGACCGTTTTGTTTTTTTAGTTTTTAGTTTAGTTTTGTCCCAAAGAATGCTTAAAAACAAAACTGTCGAGAATGTTCTCAACGGGAATTATATACGAACAAAACTCTGTCGAACGTTCCCAAAAAAGAGCAAAATGCAAACAATAATTTTGGGAACGTTTCTGAGAGAACAAAATGGGAACTAAAGTCTCAAGAACTTTTGACAGATAACGATACGGGAATAAATGTCTTAGGAACTTTCTCTCGAAGAACAATTTAGGAACTAAAGACTCGGGAACTTTCTGGCAGAGAACGAAATGGGAACAAATCGTTTCTGAACTTTTCGCGAAGAATGGAAGTAAGAACAAAATTCATCTCATAACGTTCAATTAGTTTGAAATGTTTGAATATTAAAATTAATCAAAAAAGAACTGAAAGATAATTATGCAAATTAAGTCAACGAAAGACTTAACACACGAACTTTTCTTGCACAGAAAATTACAAGGTGTTCCATAAATGGACAGTTCACCCAAATGATAAACCATCCGGAAATTAAAATGATCCAGCTTTCCTCTGGCTTAGAAACAACAGTCGTGGTTTTCACTGAAACGATTTGTCATCCCAACACGCAGATGCCCTTCTCATTATTAATGTTAAGTTCTCAAAACTTTTGATCTTGTTTTGTTCTCTAGCAGATTTTTGCTCTTATTTGATCCTCCTTGAAAATGTTATACTCGATACTTTCGTTCTCATTTCGTTCTTCACTGAAACTTTCGCGAACCTTTTGTTCTAATATTGTTTCCGTTCAAGCTGCTCTCAAAATTTTTATTCAGGTTTGGTTGTTTTGTGGCAACATTCTTGACATTACATTTTGTTCTCGTGCAGAACCAAACCAAAACCGGAATGCGTTCTCGGTCCTTGCTCAAAACACTATTCAATGACATTTTGCCACTTTCCTTATAAAATGTTCATATTTCCGGTACCGTAGAGCTTCATGGGTTTATAAGCAAGTGATTATCACAAGCATTTTTTGTACCATGCATGGCACCATTGGGAGATATCTTTGAAGACAGGAACAACTAGAATTCACACAAGGTAACATATGTGCTAAGCGGAGAATGCAACACAACTAGGCAACCAATAAATACAGTTTAAGCGACTATTGGCGGGCACGTTTTGCTACACCTTAGTATTGCTGCAACACTGCCATTCCTGTTGATTAATCCCGAACTTCCGTTCAATCGCACTAACGAATCAGCAGAACCTTTGCAGTGATTCACAAACTGAAACTTAGTCTATTCACGAAGCTTGTTTTGGTATCCATAGTTAAAAACTGAGTTCATAGTAGCTACTAATAGCTGACCTGGTCGAAAGAGAGCGTAATAAACGTCAATCCTGCTAACAAAGTTATGGTTATTTTCACGAACAAAATAAAGTTCTCCGGAAGTTAGATACCCGGCACTCATGGGGCGAGATCAAGCTCAGGAGCTCACTTTTTATGCATGCAGCCCAATATTTCAGCCACTTTCACTAAGCTATCGGGCTGAAATTTGGTCACGTTTGATTCTCGTGGCAATGCAACAAAGGTGGCGCAGGAGTCAAGATATTTGGAAAACCTGCATCTATGGTTCGATTTGGTTCATGCCCAGAATATACATATAGTATCTATACATGTAATTGAAATCTACTATGTACTGAAAAATTGTGTTGTTGCTAGAATTGAGATTGTATTGTTATTTTATTTTCATTAACTTTTATAGAAGTATAGCATATTATACAACAAAAATCATGTAAATCTGACTTTCAAATTTTATACAAATGCATTTTCTATCATACAAAGTATGTTCGAAAAAACTTTTATCTGGAGGAAAATGCGCAGCCCTGTCAACAAAAATCGTGTCTAAAATCAACTCTATTTTACACCTTTGTCGAATCTTTTTTTTTTTAATTTTGAAATCGTATTTACACGTTTTTTGTTATTTATTTTCCACTGGTATTAGGTGTCCCCAATATTCGTTCTTGTTACTTATTACCGAATTCCGATCGGCTTTAAATTCTTAAAACAACAAAAAACGCACAGTTTTATGAATTGTCTATATATTTTCAGCTTCTTGTAAATATTAAGCTACAAATTACATGTGTATGTATTTATTCGTGAAATTTTTCAAAAATTGATGTGAACAAACAAAAAAGATTACGTATTAGCACATATGTATGTCTTTTTGCATGTATGTACGTATCGTCACCTGAAATGCAGAAAAAAAAACGTAACAAACATTGTCGCTAAAATACAAAAAGTCATAACTAATAAAATATTAAAAATTCACTTTTTGATTTATATGATGGATTTCCTCGAACTCCCCACATCATTTTTTGAAAAAAATTAAAATATTAGTTACGACTTTTTCCATTTCATTTACGTTGATGTTACGTCTTTTTGCATTTCAGGTGATGGCATGTATGTAGGTACATATATAAATAATAGCAGCAAACAAATTCATGTCATACCTAATTATTAGTAATTAATTGTTACAGTAAAAATAACTACAATACTAAACACATATTCATCATATGCAATTATCATGAAAACACTGATTTGCAATAAACAAAAACAGCAAAAACTCTTACACACGGGTGTTTCCATACGTCACATGCGTGACAGTTGTCCATTTCAATGAGATACCAACAAGGAAAAACATTTCTTTTATTTCTTTTTAGTTTTTGTCGCGGTAGACCTTCCGATGGAAACACCCATATGTGTATTTATTTATTTCGGTTTGCATGTTTATTCAATTTGGAAAGATATTTGCTATGAAAGGATAAAGCCAAAAAACACAGCACAAAAACTGAACAACTGGAAGCAAGTGCAGGTGCGCCACCTATTTACATACATACAAAGCAGCTCGATGGTCCAAAAGAAAAGCAGTGCAAATATAGTATAAAGTTCAGATGGAAATCCTTAGCTGCGTAACGGGTAACCGTGGGAATAATACATATCGAATAGTCCGTGTTATTTTTAATTATGTATGTAAGTATGTATATATTTTGT